TTATCAATAAATTTTCTTCTAATATAATACTTAATGAATTTTGTTTACAAATTTTACCTAAAATTCGTACGAAAATCGAATGGCTGGATCTTGAATCTGAATCTATGAAAAATATTTTAGATGCTGCTGATTATCCTAATTTATATGCACTCGGCTTATATAATATTGAAGAAGAGACAGCTAAATGTCTTTTTACTGGTAAGGAAATCTAAATGTAATTGTTTTAAGTCTAATCAAAGTAAACATGTATACTTTGAAATTATTAATGTAGATGAATAAAACATTGAATATATTAAATAAATTTCATTTCATAATTTATATTTAACTATGAAACTGTAAAAGAGAAGAATCGTTTACACAAATTGATACAAAGAAAAATAAAACAGAAAATATTTTTAATCAATAGAAAATAAAATTTAAAAAATAATGATCATTATTTCATAATAAATTTATTGTGGACTATTATTTAAAGGAGAGATTATTTCTAAAAGAAAAATTTCTTTCTATCAAAGATTATCTTAGTCATTTGACTATTTTTCTTAATCTTTGATTATAATAATTATATGAAAAGTTGATTATATTGTTTAGTATTATTTATGTATTTAGATGAAAGACTTTCATCTTCTATGTTTAAAAATCAAATTACAACACTTATTATTACAATTGATCCAGATAAACAGGAACGGTCGACAATAGCAAACATGTAATTATATCTTTACTGTCTTTACCAATTTAACTCATTTAACATTTTACGATGTCGCATATATGAATAATATTTGATTATTATTTAATATTCCATCTTCTAGTTTTTCTTCTTCATCTCTTTTGGTATTAAATATCAAGGTTCAAACTTTTGACATGTGTCTTTATCTTCTCGATGGACGTTTCGAACAACTTCGTACACTATATTGAATTGACTAATATTCTTTCTCCATCAGAAATTGAAAATGAAGTTAGTTTTACCAGAAAATAAATTTGATTTTGTTTTTGTTTTTATTTCTTTAGAGAAAAATTCCAAATCTGAAGTCTTTTGTTTTGTCTTGTATGGCGAGAACATTTTATTATAATGAATTAATTCTTCCACTTATTTATCGAATGGCAAATTTAGAAGAACTTGGTTTGTATTTCACGGCCTTTGTTAATGAAACATTTATTGATGGAAATAGTTTGAAGAAAGATATTCTTAATCATATGTTACAATTAAAACAATTTGCATTTGATATTCGTTCGATTATGTCCATTAAGAATCAAATGGATTTACCATCGAAAGAAGACATTCAACAATTTACAATATACTAAAATAATATCTTGTGTTGATTATTTTCTAGAGTATAAACAGGCTCTATGTCATATTTATTCATATCCATTTTTAATGGAACGTTTCGAAGATATAACAAATAATTTTCCAGGTGGTTTATATCCATATGTTCGTATTGTATCATTATATGATGAACACCCTTTTGAACATGAATTTTTTATTCGAATTGCTCAATCATTTCCATTTATGGAAAAATTAACTATCAATAATCGTTATGCACAAAATCAAAAAGAATCTTATAAATTAATAAATGATAAATCGAATTTATCAATTGTTAAATATAATTATCTTATTGAACTTTATATAGATCGAGCTCATGATGATTATATTGAAGAATTTCTATGTAATACGAAAACATATTTCCAAAATAATATTCTTCTTGATATCCATTATAAAGCATTAGAAAGAGTAACACATAATTTTACAAGAGATTCAACACGAATTAATTGTATGAAAGTAAATGAACTATTTTTATTTGGAAAACTCGAGTATTCAAAATCTTGTAAAGATTATTTTCCTTTTGCAATAATAGATTGATTATTATTATTATATTACAAGTAAAAGAGAAAAGTATTTTGTTTTTTGTTTTGTGTAATGTTGTGAAGAAACAATGTTTATAAAGAAATTAATATGATCATGTACAAAAAAATATAATCTGTGAAATAAATTTACTTTTATAAAAGAAGATATTTAATAATTATTGGTTATGTTTAATGTAAAATAATTCTGTTATCATTTGTGTAATTGAAGCAATAAATAACTATTTTCATATTTTTTTCTTCAGATTGAACAATCAAAAATGATTTATCGATTTGTTTTATGTTACGTATAGTTCAATTATCAACAAATAATATTTAACACCTTTTCCATTTTCTAACAAAAGAAAGATATAAATTATTGATTTTTATTTAAGTGAAATCAAAATAAGATTGAATTTATAACGAAAGAAAATAATGATGAACACATTCAGACAGAATTATTAAGTCTTCAACAATTAATCGTTCCAGTTTGGTTCAATTTTGTTCTGTTCTATTTCTTGTTAAGCTTTTTATTACACTTTTTAATTGACCATATAAATCTTTTAATTTTGTTAAACATGATAAATTTGTTTTAAATTCATTCAGAAATATAAATTAAGTAAAATAAGATAAGAATATTCAACAATCGAATATGAATAGTTATCAATGAATGGATATTTGTAAGATCTTCAAAACTGTGGTCGAATATTCATAACAGATAATAATTTAAGTGATGAAAAAGCTTGAGTAATTAGAATGAAAAATTCATGTTTAAGTGGAAGTTTATCGTGCAATTCCAAATGAGTTACAGATCTGAATATTAATGGATGAAAGATTGTTCGTAATCTATTTGAGACGATCAAATATAAATGGAAGTGAGAAAACATGGCATACGATCTTAAAAGTATCGAAATAGTCTGGAATACAAGCCGCCTGGTAAAGATCTGTACTTACAAAAGTTCTTTGAATATCATAATTAGATATGCAATGAGTTGCATCATCATCGATATCATTCTTTGTACTAATATAAAAGCAAAATGTATAAAATCGTGGCATATGAATAAGGATTTTATTATGAAGATGACTTCCATCGACGAATGTAAATCGATTTATGATACAAACATACAAAATTAATTCTTCAAGATATGATATACGATTAAGAAGAAGTATCACTAATTCATCATATAAACAAATTGTATCATAGCACTTCTACTTCAAATAAAAATTAGGTAATAATTCTACAAAAATGAACTACGATATAAAAATGAATTTTCTCAACATGTTAATTCCAAACATGTAGTTAGATAGTTCTATTTGAATTATGCAAATTTATAAATCAACTTCAACTTTGGTACTACAAAGTTGAATTTGTGTCATTGAAAATCTTAAAAAAACAATACGTTTTCGAATGTATATCTGCTATCATTTATCAATGAGTACGAAGATTATTATTGATTCGAAGTACTTGAATTTGTGAACGATCCGAATTTCTAATGACTATTCAATTGAATTGAAAGTCATGAGGAACTGGTGGTCAAAACCTAAATTCATCTTATTGATTTTAAAAACAGAA